ACTGGAGTATTAAATCATCCTGAAGATAACTTTTGTCTAGAGCCTTGCTATAGGTTATTACCAAAGCTTGTGGCGATAGGGAATTTCTGGATAGAATTTCATGGCAACATATGATTTACTCTTAGTGATACCCAGACTCCCACCTTAAAATGATTTGAAATATGCTGCAGTTTGTCGCTTTCTAGCTTCTATTTTAAATTGGTCTCTCAAAGTATCAAGACCGCCACATGAGCCCTCTGCTAAAGTTCTTTCTTAAGTCCTATTAAATGGTGAGTTGGCCATTAAAGCAGGCCCATGTGCTCTACGAGGCATGACTGTGGGAAAACTCTCCAGAGAAGCAATATCAAAATCGTATCACCTTTATTCGTCTGATTTACTTTAATCCTTCTTCATCTTCGTAAATACAACAAGCGCCGCTTTCTTCATTAGTACAAGTGCTTATTTCAATAGGCTTAGCATAAGCTCTGACATTACCTAATCCAGTTGCTTCTTGTTCTAATTAGTTAGGCAACGTATTTATCCACCCTCTTTCATTTACTATTGTTTTCCCCTTATACTCAGCCACTGTAACGCCTAATTTATCTCCATATAGCCTATCTGTTGTTACCATTATTTGTGCTAGAATATTAAGAATTTTGCTATTACTCCTCTCTTTATAAAGGATTTTAGCCTTATCTTCTGTGTTTATTGATTTTTACAACTCTTTTGTTCCCACCTTTAAGACTTGATAAACTATGTCTCTTTCTTAGAAATGGAGACCAAGATGTTGTGTCCTCTATTTTGATCGTAGTCTCTTTTCAATGTGTAGATATGGTCTGACCTCGTTTTCGCAGCTTTCTCATGTTATCAAGGAGACTTAATTGGACGCATTTTTTCCCAAGTCCTCTGCTATAGTAGTTATCTTATTCCCAAGCGTCGAATCTTCAACTTGGTACATCGTCAGAAAGTTGGTCGAAGAATTTACTTCATTTGCCTCTTTGACGAATTGTAGCTTGGTGCTGAGAATGACAAGGCCCACTGACGATGCCGATTACGATGCTGACCAAGCGTCTGGGATTGTATCAAGTCCACGGTCCGACGATGGGAATTAGGATAACTAGTATATCAGAGGACTTCGGACAAGCTGCGTCAAATTAAGTCGCCCTGACAACAGAACCAAGTTGCCTCTTTCTCTTCAACTTTGCCTTATTTGCTACAATATCTCGATTTTTTGGTTTTTCTCTTTTCACTTTCTATCCCCATCTTTTTCCTGCTTGCTTTTCTGTTTCTTAGGACCAATTGCTTGGCTTGGCAAAACTGGTTGCAAACGCTACCGCTGGCCTGGTTGTAAAAGCGAAGCATCTGGCTACCCAGACTGCGGACGACCACGAGACTCAGCAACGTATCATTATCGCTGCCACGCAGACCGGCCTTAATACCAGTCAATTGGTCGCCTGCACCAAGGTAAACCTTATCTCTCTTTTTCTATCTTATAATGTCTTCATGGTGTTACAGCTTCTTTCACGCCCTCCGATATAATCTAAAAGCAATCGAGATTGATGCTTTGAGTCTTATTTTTGTTGCTTTAATAATATATAAATTAGTTTTGTTATCGAAAAACATACTAT